ATTGGAGTTTATCACTTTGTAACCTTGTGATATTGTGATTTATAGTAAGAAATATATATTTGGTCTTTGTCTCACTTTTGGCACAGAGCTCCTAAAACCTTTGGGATTTCCGAAATGATGAGTCTGGTAAAGGTGTCTCTTGTTATGTTAATGAGGTGACTTTTTGACCTCACTGAGGGATGGGGCCTGGTTGCCAGGAGAAGCTACCATATAATTAGAGGATTGGAACTTTTAGTTCCAATCCTGGAGGTTTAAACAATCCTCCTGGGGCTGGAGGTTTAAACAATCAGCAATGGCCTATGATTTAATCATCCATGCCTATGTAATGAAGCCTTCATAAAACCCCAAAAGGATGATGTTCAGAGAGCTTCCAGGTTGGGGGACCAGAACACTTCTATGTATCATGTGCAGGGCCCCAAACTCCATAAGGACAGAAGCTCTTTTGTTGAGGAGCTTGCCTTATGTATCTCTTGAACTAGCTGTGGATTTATATCCTTTAATAGCCTCTGTAGCAAGCTGGTAATCTTGTGAGTAAATGGGTTTCCTGAGTTCTGTGAGCTGCTCTAGCAAATAAGTCAAACCCAAGAAGGGGGTTGTAGGAACCTCTGATTTTATAGCCAGTAAGGTCAGAAGTATCAATAAAAGTAACAACCTGGATTTTCGACTGGGATCTGAAGTCTGCTCTAGCAAATTAATTGTGCCCAGGAAAGAGACAGTCAGAATCTCTAATCTATAGCCGGTGGGTCAGAAGAAGAGGTAACAACCATGGGCTTACGATTGAGGTCAGAAGTGGAGAGCAATCTTGTGAGACTGAACTCAACCTGTGGAATCTGATGCTATCTCTAAGTAGATAGTGTCAGAATTGAATTGTAGGACACCCAGCTGGTGTTAGAGAATTGCCTGGTGTTGTGGGGACCGCCCCCCAGCCCCACGTTGGAAATTGGGTCCAGAACCTTTAAGCTCCTAATGAAGTGATTATCTAATTAACTCAGAGGATGCTCAATAGTGACTGCAAATAACACAAAAAGAAAGATAGGTGCCGACTGACTTGATCAAGGCTCTAGATTGAACTACCAAGTTACAGAAAATGCAGAGGACAGAAAAACATTTAAATATCACCATAGGGATTAATTTGCAGAACGAGTCTGTGGGAAATTTACCGGAAAACTGCCTGGTTTCTTAAACAAATAAATGCCAGTGGGGAAAAAGGAGAGGGACAAGGAAGCTACTCAATAAAAGATTAAAAGACATATCAATCACACTGTATTTGGATCCTGATTCAAACAAAGAGACTGTTAAAAAAACTTATGAGAAAATCAGGGAAATTTGAATGCTGAGTATTTGATGGTGTTAAGAAACTAATGTCTTTGGTTGTGATAATGGTATTATGGTTATGTTAAAAAGGTAGTCCTCATCTTTCAAAGACACATATTGAAATACTTAAGAGTTATATAACTAAAAATACAGAATACTGTTATGCTGACTTCTCCAACCTGAATATAGAAATATATATATATATTTGGCTGCACCATGTGGCTTGCAGGAGCTTAGTTCCCTGACCAGGGTGAAAGCACGGAGTCCTAATCACTGGACCGCCAGGGAATTCCCAAGATAGAAATATATTAATGCAGCAATACTTTCCATCCACCCCCGGCTTTATTGAGATATAATTAACATATAACACTGTGGAAGTTTAAATTATACATGATTATTTCATACATGTATATATTGTGAAACATTAATATTTGTTACTATATCCTTCACCTCACATAATTACCATTTTTTTGGTGATGGTAGTGGTGGTGAGAACATTTAAAATTTATTCTCTTGGCAATTTTCGAATGTACAATACAGCATTGTTAACTATTGTCACCCTGCTGCACTTTAGATCCCCAGAACTTATTTATCTTACATCTGGAAGTTTGTACCCTTTGACCAACATCTCACTTTCCCCAACCCCAGCCCTGGCAACCACCAATCTACTCTCTGTTTCTATGAGTTTGTCTTTTTTAGATACTTATACAAGTGAGATCATACAGGATATTTCTGTCTGAATTATTCAACTTAGCATAATGCCCATCTATGTTATCATAGACAGCAGGACTTCCTTCTTTTTTTAAAGGATGAGTAATATTCCACTGTATGTGTATATATATATATATATAAATATATACACATACAATTTGAGATGTATATATATATATCAAATTTTCCATTCATCCGTCGATGGACACTTAGGTTGTTTGTTCCACATCTTGGGTAATCGTAAATAATGCTGCAGTGAACATGGGGATGCAGATATATTTTTGGGATAGTGATTTAATTCCCTTTGAATATATACCCAGAAGTGAGATTGCTGGATCATAGGTAGCTCTATTTTTAATTTTTTGAGGAACTTTCATACTGTTTTCCCTAATACAGCCATTTTTTCCACTGCAAAGCACAGTGAGTAGAGAAGCCATTCAGAAGCCTAGGGTTCCAGGCAAATTTGAATTGTAAACCAGCTGTCCCAATACTCTAGGGGTGGGTCCTTTCAAATAGATGAGAGAGGAGACTGGATAGGTAAACTACTATTGGAACATGCCTGACATACAAATCAAAGGCTCACCGTGACTCTATTACTGCCCCTGGGATACTAAAATAGCCTCCTGACTGATCCCTCTTGGGCTTCCATCCTTCCCCACACCTCAGAATAATCTCAAAACAGTGGCCAGAGTAATCATTTAAAATATGTACATCATATGATTTTACTTTTCTCCTTAACACTTTCCAATGGCTTTCCAGCTCACCTAGAATAAAATCCAAAGGCTTTACCATGGTCCCATGCTACCTCTATGACTCTCCCCCGCTGTCATTCCATGCTACCTCCACTGGTTTTCCTGTTGTTCCTCTAACATTCCAGGCTTTCTCCAAGTTCAGGGCCTTTACATTGGCCTGTTCCCTGTGTCTGAAATTGCCCTTTTACATAACAGCATGACTCTTTTACAACCTTCAGATTTTTCTCAAGTGTCACATTCTCAAGGAGGTCTTCCCTGGGCATATTATCTACAGTTTCAACACTCTCCTTTACTCCCTTCCCATGCCCTTTCCTGCTTTATTTTTCACTCCTTAGCTAATCTGATATACAGTTTACTTAATTTGTCTTACTTATTATAAGTTTCTCTCACCAAGCTGCATGAGGTCAGAGGTTTGCCTGTTTTCTTCACTGCTATGTCCCTGGTCATAATAGGTGATTACTTAGAAAATATTTGTTAAATACATAAATGAATACCTGCAAGTCACTCCCCACCCCACAGTTCATTCAAACCTAGTCATGTCACCTAATCAATGATGCCTTTCCTGAAGATCCTATACAAAGTAGCACCTTTCCCCCTACATACACACAGAGATCATTACTGAATCTCCTCACCGTTCTTTTTCCAAAAAATTGCATTTAGCACATTTCGACATATTATATATTCATGTGTTTATTCTCTCTTCCCTTCCCTGTGGATTCTAATTCCCATGAAGGCTGGGACTGTATCCTCAGGGCCTTAGTACTCAGTAGCTTTTTTTTTTTTTAGATTAATTTGTGCTTTTATTTGCCAGTATTAACTACAGTGGCCTGCAAACTTTTTTGATCTAAAAGGTACATTTTACATCACAATCCAACAAACACACATATAATATGTATACATATATAAAAGTGAAACAAAAGTTTTGCCAAAAACGTCTACCCTTGAGTGTTCTTTTTTTTTTTTAAACCAAGGGTGAATTTCACTGACACATCATAATCACCAAAGTCCCCAGTTCATCTTAGGGTTCACTTTAATGAAATGAATAGTGTTGCACGTTCTACAGGTTTGGACAAAAGTATGGTGACATAAAATCATTATAATGTCATACAAAGTATTTTCACCGCTTATAAAAACTTCTGTACTCTGTGTATTCATCTCTCCTCTCCCCCCAAATCCTGGCAACCATTGATCTTTTTATTGTCCCCATAGTTTTGCCTTTTCCAGAATGGCACATAGTTGGAATCTATTTTTTTTTCCTTTAAAAGAGAGGTTCGAAGCCTTTATGTCTGTAAGACTACTCATGGCCCACCCACGCGTGGACCTGACAGGCTCTAGGTGGCAAACTCCCCCACTAAATACCGTAGCTTTCCTTCCAATACTGAGCCCTGTCGCACTGGTCCTGCCCAGCAGCCACGTGGAGGTGCAGGGGAACACGTGTTGGGTATTTGCTCATAGGAAGGCCACAAGCTTTGTGCCCCTTCTCACAATGAACCTAGATTCCTGTCGGGTGTGTTGTAAACACACGAGCCATTTCTTCAGGCTCCCTGCTCTGAGCACACCCCAAGTAGCTATTTCTTGAATTAATGAACCAGTTCGGTCCGATAGTCTTCCCGCCACAATCACGAACTCTGTCAGGGTGGCTATGAGCTTCCAGCACGATCAAGAGAAGCTCGCCTGCGAGCACTCTAAACTCCTTCATCTCCCGTGCCTCTTCAAAGAAAGGCGATGCCCTTGGCAGGGAACTGCAAAAACATCGGCGTTCCCCATTTCATTTCTGCTAAAATTTAACCACTGAATTGGCAGCTCAGGCGAACGCAACGAATAAAAGTATTTAGCAAATTACTTTGTAAACTGTCTTTGTAGTCTGTCGGTAAACTAACTTAAACTTAACGGACTTACTCGACTTTATACCACCGTCGCACGGTGGGAGAACAAAAGCTAGTTCCCAATAGGCGGGAGCCGGCCCCAACCAGCCAGGATCTGCGCCCTCCCGCCCCCGACAGGATTGGTCCAGGCTCCGCAGGCACCGCCCTGGTCGGGCAGCCTGCGCCCTCGTGGGCGGGGCCGTCCCGTGAGGCGCGTGGGAGGAGCGAGGCTGGGCGGCCCGGGCGTCTTCCAGTCCAGGATTGGCTGAGGTTCGGCAGGCACAGTCGCGGCCGGGCATCCGCCCGCATATGGGCGGGGTTGTCCCGTGAGGCGCGTGGGGCAGGCGGGGCGGGGCTGGGCTGGGCTGGGCTGGGCTGGGGCTCGGCTTGGGGCTGGCGTTGGGGATGCTGCAGCTGGGCTGACCTGCGGGACTTGAGCCTTGGCCCAAGGGATGGCCAACGTGCGGGTGGCCGTGAGAGTCCGGCCCCTCAGCAAGAGGTGAGTCTGGGAGGGAGGGGGCGCCTGAGGCGTCAAATGAGCTGAGAGGAGGGCGAGGTCCTCGCGTCTCCCTCCAGTGATTCTGGCGCGGAGAAATCAGACACAAAGTGGCCCAAGGGTCCAGCGTCCGGAAACTGTAAAAGCCTGGCGGGACAAAGCCTCGATCGGGTTGGGTTTTCGATTAGTGCCCTGGCGGGTAGCGGTTAGTGGATAGCCTCAGGGTGGCCTACCCTGTGTCCCTGGAGTCCTGCCAGCAGGAGTTTTGAGGGACCGCGGCTCAAGTCTTTTTTTTTTTTTAACATCCTTTTTGGAGTATAATTGCTTTACAATGGTGTGTCAGTTTCTGCTTTATAACAAAGTGAATCAGCTATATGTATACATATATCCCCATATCCCCTCCCTCTTGCACCTCCCTCCCACCCTCCCTATCCCACCCCTCTAGGTAGTCACAAAGCACTGAGCTGATCTCCCTGTGCTATGCGGCTGCTTCCCACTAGCTATCTATTTTACATTTGGTAGTGTATATATGTCCATGCCACTCTCTCACTTCATCCCAGCTTACCCTTCCCCCTTCTCGTGTCCTCAAGTCCATTCTCGACGTCTGTGTCTTTATTCCTGTCCTGCCCCTAGGTTCTTCAGAACCTTTTTTTTTTTCCCATATATATGTGTTAGCATACGGTATTTGTTTTTCTCTTTCTTGATGCATGGTGTGGGCCTTTCTCCCTGGGTACACCGAGAAGGGCTGGGAAAGGGGGAGAGGGATCGGGCGGTCTCCTGTCTCTCCTTGGTGGCTCTGGAGTACCTGTGAGGAATGGGGCAGAATTGTGTGCGTGCCTGTGCGCACATGGGTTTCTCTGTGAAGATGTGGAGGAAAGCAGATTGTAAGGTATGAGAGGGAAACGGAGGCTCAGAGAGATGGTGGCTTCATTCGGTGCTCGACAGCAGAACTGGCAAGAAGGGGAAGTTGTTTTAACCCCTTCCCGCAACGTAGTCAGTGCCCATTTCTTCATGCGTGAATCTGATCCTGCACTTCTCAGCTGTTGAGGCATCCAGGGTCCAGCCGCATAATTTCTTTCCCTTCTTACTGATTTTCCACTCATAGGTTTGGAAAGTCAGGGAAGGCTTCACAGAAGGGTTGGTGCTTGAACCCAAACACTTTTAAAAGAGCTGCTAGAGTCTGCTGACAGGTGGAGAAGGTGTAAAGAGCACTCCGTGAGAACACTGAGAGCGAAGGACTTAGGCTGTTAGGAAACAGAAAGGTTTCAGTTGTTTGAGGAGAGGGTGTGTGGAGGGAGATGAGTAGTAGGAGATAAAGCTGGCAGAATGTGGTTTGGGACCTGAAGGCACATATTGGAACTCTTTGGGAGGCACAGACTCAGTTAACAAAGTCATTGGATCTTATGTGGTACTTGGAAAGAAATCTTAGAGGTCAAGCTTCCATTCTTAATTTTTCCAGATGAGAAAATGGTCTTGTTTAAGATCTAAAAGTAGGTAAGAGCCGAGTTCCTTTCACCAGACCAAGCCGCTCCTTCCTGAGATAACAGAAAAGTTGGACTTCTTTCTCAGATGCCTGTTTGCTCAGTAGGACTAGAATAGACCATCAGTAAAATGATAATATGGGAAATGGCTTTGGTGCCCTCCCTTCTACCTCACAGTTGTTTCCCATAATCAGAAAATCCATGTCTCATTATAAGATGCTGCCCCTTGTTTGTCCCAAATCATCCATCATTGAGAAAACATGTTTTCTTTTGCCAATACTGTAGGCTCTGGAACACTAGCCACTGCTCTGGCAAAAGTTACTTTTCATGCACTGTATTCCCTTTCTGTGCTCTTCTTTTTAAATCTGTGAAATAGTGTAACTACTTTAATGGGTTTTTTTGTGAAGATCAAATGAAAGGGTATATTAAAAATACTTAGAACAGAGCCTGGCTCATTTTAAGTGTCCAGTAAAGTGCTAGCTATATAATTTTTAACAGCTGCTTTTATTCCTCCCTCTTCTTAGCTGTCTTTTTAAGTTTTACAAATGAATAGATCAGTGGAAATGGCTTGGTTATTTTCTCCTCTAGGGCAGTGATTCTCAAATTATAGGAGACATACAGTCCACCTGGGAAGCTTGTTATAATGCAAGTTGTTAACAGGAGTTCCAATTAACTAGCCCCACCTTCTCCCATAATTCTGATGAAGGTAACCTGTGGACCACACTTTGAGAAACACTGTCCTAGGAGTAACCGTGTAACTGAGGATTTATTCCTGTGCAAAATCTTTAACCCTAACAAATGAATGCCTGTTGGTAGAATTCAGGACCCAGAAACACCCGTAGACTTCCTATGAGCTCTGTGCAGTCCGCTGCCCAGTTGAGGTTGGTGCCCTTTCTTTCTATTCTGCTCAACTTTAATTTGTCCTCATTTTGTTTTAGAATATTTTGGAACCACTAGATTACCAGTGGCAGTGGTCCAGGCAGGGGAGGGGCAGCATCTCACCCACCTTTAGTGTCATATCTTTCTGTCAAGGGGTCAAGTTCAAGACCCTTTTTTCTTTTGGCTGCTTTATGCTAAAAAGTCCTAGATAAACCCTCAAAAAAGGGCTTACTTTAAAAAATTAAATAGATTTGCAAACGTTATTGCATATTTTTCCCCTTATTTTCTTTATTGTGCAAATTTACTATAACCTGTGTATTTTATAGTGGGTGGAGGGAGAATAAAACCTACTTTTAAGTGCAGAGAGGAAAAAAAATTATCTTAACACCAAAGATGAAAGATTTTCTTTAGGAGAGCTGAGGGCTGGGGGCAGGAGGTGTAATTTTATGATCCTGGGGGACAAAGAATATCCCTGCTGCCTTAAGTACTGTCTTGTATGAAATGTGAAAGAAAGAGCATCAGGGCCTTGAGGAAATTTAAGTAACAGAAATGTCATCACCTGGGAGAGGGAAATTTTTTATCCAGGCCTTTATCCCAAACACACTGATAGATTTAAAAAAATAATCTTAAATGTAAAGACCCCTGTCTCACTGTGCACCCCTTGCCATCCCCCAGCCCCCAAATCATCAAGGTCACATCCTGGAAACCCTGAGGAAAGATAAAAACGAGACTGAATATATTTGCTCAACTTTCAGGTCTCAGGCCAGGAGTAATTTAATTGATAACTTTCTTTGTAGTAGAAAAAGTGCCAATGAGTTAACTCTCATCTATTAACATTCTGACCTTAAGCACTTTAGCTAAAGTTCTTTATGTTGTGAAAAAGGATTTCGTATCTAGAATGGAGTGTATTCCATTCGTTTTGGCCTTAAGGTATATGGATCATATGGATTAAGCCCCTTAAAGTGAATTTAGGGGTTGGATAGTTGTTAGCAGTGTTACTACAGAACTGCAAGTTTAGGAAGATCCTTAAGGATCTTGGCTCTCATTCTGATTTAGGAAGACATAAGGAAAGGATTTGGGAAGCATGTTCTCAGGCCTCAACAGAGAGGACTCCAAAACCTTTTTTGTTATTTTCTGTGCTCAGAACATCAGAGAAAATGAGAAGTGATGCCATGCTGTGTGCCAAGCGGAGGATATTCTCCATGGTTTCCAAGCCCGATTTCTAAGTCATATGGCTTTGTGGTTAGACAGATCTGGGTTGAAATTTCAGCTCTGCCACTGCTAGCTGTGTGACCTTGGACAAGTTACATAATTTCTCTCAGCCTTGGTCTTCATTCTGAAAAAAATGAAGATATGTTAGGAAGCTATGTCAGGAGGGTGTGTTAAGAGGATTGCATAAGATGAAGTATAGTACATACTCTACTTAATACAGTGCCTGGCACATAGAGGGTGCCCAACAACGGTGACTCTTCACTGTTCCCAAGCCAAATTCTAATAATCCAGGGAAGTGTGCCAACTAGGGGACTGCTTGATATGATGCTGATAGCCATTAATGGAGACGGACACCCCAGTTATGGAGACAGCGGTAGGGAAACACTTTGTCCCAGTAGCGCTGTTCTCAGCTGCTCTTTTCTTTCTTTTTTTTAAAAAATAAATTTATTTATTTATTTTTGGCTGCATTGGGTCTTCGTTGCTGTGTGTGGGCTTTCCCTAGTTGTGGCGAGCGGGGGCTACTCTTCGTCGTGGTGCGCAGGCTTCTCATTGCAGTGGCTTCTCTTGTTGCGGAGCACAGGCCCTAGGCGCACGGGCTTCAGTAGTTGTGGCCCACGGGCTCAGTAGTTGTGGCCCACGGGCTTAGTTGCTCTGCGGCATGTGGGATCTTCCCAGACCCGGGCTCAAACCCGTGTCCCCTGCATTGGCAGGTGGATTCTGAACCACTGTGCCACCAAGGAAGTGCCTCTTTTCTTGATTAACTTAAAGAAGCAGTATTTCTTCTCATATGGGTTGTGTTTTGTTTCTAGGGAGACCAAAGAAGGGGGAAGAATTATTGTGGAAGTTGATGGCAAAGTGGCAAAAATCAGGAATTTAAAGGTAAGCCTGAAATTGTTTTCCTTTTTCTTTTCACTGAGGAGCTAGTATTATTACAGGGCTTCTGTGGGTGAAGGTGGGTATGTGAATGTGTTTAGAGAGGGGGATTGGGAGAGGGAAGGGCATGTAAGGGGAATTGTGGCAAGAGCTTTGAGCAACCACAAAGAAAATATAAAAATACAGCAGGAAAGAAGTTCCAGGGATGTGGCTGCTGCAGCCCAAGTTCTATCAAATGGGGTACAGCTGTTTTGGAAACTGGTCAGTAGTTGTTCTGAAAGTAAACACTAGGAGTGTTATGGGGGCTGTGGCCAACTGGAATCATGCTGGGGACAATCCATGCATATATTTAACTCACTCGACCACCAATTAGACTTCGGCTCAAGTCTCTTATTGGCTATCACTTCATCTAGAAGCATTACCAGGGCTTTTAGTATGCATCTGCTAATGCAGGACTCTTCTTTTGGCCGTAGTGAAGGAGAAGTAAGAGACTTTAGATCTCAGAAGAGAGTCGGTCACTAGCCCGAGTCTTGCTACAAATTCTCTTTTACAGATCTGACTGATCTTTGAGTCACGATTGGACAAATACTGGCAACTTCCTCCCCTACCCTTCACCCCTTCCTAGGGCTAATTTCCTCCATCCCATTCCTCCATTTCCCAGGCCAGCGGAAGTGGAAGGGATTCTTTCGAAAGAACAAATGGCCCTTGAGCAGTGGAGAGGGACGGGGCAGCCGGCCATGTGACTATTGCTGTGGTCAGCTTGCAGGTGGTACTCAGCATTCCTGAGAGCTGAGGAAGCTGACTTGCAGGACGAGAGTTATCTGGATCCCAGGGCCCCCAGCCATGCCCACTCTTGTGTTACTGCTCTGATGTGATCTGTTTCCTTTTGTCAGTAGCTCTCTGCTGAAAGAGAAGCCTGCCAGACTTTCAACAGGAGCTCCCCGGGGACAAAAGACCTTTCATTCTCTGCTGTCTCTTATTTATATCTCTGTTGCCTAATCACTTCAGCTGCTTTGTTCTGAGAGCCCATATTTTTGGTTCTTAAGAATAAATTCTGGCCAAGATCAAACTCTAATCTGCCCCCTGCACACCTCGCTGACTGCTTACTTCACTGAGGCCAGTTATCCACTAAGAATGTCTTAGTCATTCTGGCAGCCTCATTCTATTGTGGCTTATGGTACCTAGTTCAAAGGATTGTTTCTCCCTGTCCAGAGTCTAAATTTTAAATAGTAAGATAGGCATTTCTGTGAATAATGCCATTCTCCCCAGTACCTAGAGGTCAGTACAGTTCTAAGCTCTGGCTCTGCCCTCATCTACCTTGGGCAGTTGGAGTGGTCCTAACTCTTCTGTCCAACATGCTTTCTCATTCACTGGGGGTGGATACCCCAAGGACCTCTGTGTTTGCCCTAGGTTGATAGAGCCTGTCAGGCCCAGGGACTGAATTACTCATGTACTACCAGTATCTTCTACAGAAATACTTAGAGAAGAAATGACAGTAAGAAGAAGAGGCCCAGAGAAGGAAAGGCTTTTTCTCCCAAGCTGTCTTATGCCTCATAGGGCTGGTTCGTATGTGGGTTGATATGTGATAGTATGATAGACAGGCATTTAATTCTCTGGGGCTTCATTGTACCTAACAAGATGAAGACAAAGGTTACTTTTTCTTTTTCAGGTAGATATGATAAAGATTCTCATGATCAGTCCAGGTATCTCTAGCTACAGCAGAGAGGAATCAAGTGCTACTGGCCAGATTCTGATATTATAGTAGAGAAGACACTGGATCCTATGTTTGATTTTAGGTGGACGGTCGACCCAGTGGCTTTGGCGACTCCCGGGAGAAGGTTGTGGCATTTGGCTTTGATTACTGCTACTGGTCAGTCAACCCAGAGGACCCCCAGCATGCATCTCAGGATGTGGTAATGTCATTTTTCCTTCACTCTCCCCAGCTCTTTATAATTGGATAGTTATTGGGAAATTAACATGGAATCTGGGCCTTGGCTATTTCTTACTTATGGTAGTTTGGTCAGAAACTAATGATGTTTTGACCCGGGAAGTGGTAGTGAGAGGCATCAGTTGCAGAAAGAGCAAAGGAGATAAGAAAAGACTGCTTGTCGAGGGCACGGAAATTGACTAGTGTCCATTTAGGCTTGGACCTCCGTCTGATTCAGATGGGTACGAGGTAGTTCAGGCAATGTTCTGCTCCTGTGGTAGGTGAATGGGCTCACCTCAAACTTGACCTTGTGTTGTACGCAGCAGAAGGGCCCATGAGTCGTAGAGACTGGTATCTTCTTTGAGTCTTAGGCTTGTGCTCCTAGGCTGAGTGTAAAGGGCTGGACAGTTAGTCTGCCAGCCTGGAATGTATGTAAGAGGCGAATTCTGTTCATCTGCTGAGGATTGAGAGGATGAGCCAAGCCTGTACTGGCTGGTGCTGTAGGTCACCCTTCCTGCTGATTAGCTCTCCCATAAGTTTCTGAGGCAGCAGGTCTGGCCAGGTGGGTCTACAGGACTTCTCTCTGTTTCTGTGAAGCAGCAGCCTTGTCCTGGTTGGAGCACTGTCAAAGGTCATGCATTCAGTCCCCATGACGTCCAGCAAGCCTTGCCTGATTCAAGTCTGTGACCACAGACAATAGTCCTCATCCTAGCAGCTGCCAGGGTCCTTTCTAAAATTAGAAAAATCATTTATTTGGCCTTTCAGATGTTCTTTCTTACATGTGAAAGAGAATACTAGAGGAATATGTCTTTAGGAAAAAACATTGAAAATGGAAAAATTTGGGGGAGAACCCTAGACAACCATTGCCTGTCAGCGCATACATCTTTGAATAAAAAGCCAAAGTGTGTTTTCTGCTAAGTATGTTAGTCTTTTGCGAAACTTTTCCTAATTATGCCAAAGAAACAATGTTATCAAGCCTGAGTGACTTGGAGGACAGTATAGGCATACCACGTTTTATTGCAATTTGCTTTATTGCCTTAATGGATACTGCATTTTTTACAAATTGAAGGTTTGTGGCAACCCTGCATCAAGCAAGTCTATCCGTGCCATTTTTCATAACATTTATTCACTTCGTGTCTCTGTGTCATATTTTGGTAATTCTCGTAATATTTATCACTTTTTCATTATTATTATATTTTTTATGATGATCCCCGGTCAGTGATCTTTGATGTCACCACTGTGACTCACTGATGGCTCAGATGATGGTTAGCAGTTTTTAGTCTTAAAGAATTTTCAAATTAAGGTATGTTCAGTGTTTTTTAGACATAATGCTATTGCACACTTAGTAGACTGCAGTATAGTGTAGACATGACTTTTGTATGCACTTGGAAACCAAAAAATTCATGTGACTGGCTTTGTTGCAATTATTTGCTTTATTGTGTTGGTCTGGAAGCAGACCTGTAACATCTCCGAGGTCTGCCTGTACTGATTTTCTGCTGATACAGACTTCTGAAGATGATTGGATAATTCTAAACCATGGAGGTATAATTCCCCATCCATCCCTTTTGAGGGGAACATGTGGAAACAAGACCCTAGACCACTGTGAGATTTGTTGTTTCAGTGGGTCCCTTCTATTATAATATGAGCACCCCACTTTTTTTTTTTTTTTTTTCGGTACGCGGGCCTCTCACTGTTGTGGTCTCTCCCGTTGTGGAGCACAGGCTCCGGACGTGCAGGCTCAGCGGCTGTGGCTCACGGGCCCAGCTGCTCCGCAGCATGTGGGATCTTCCCGGACCGGGGCACGAACCCGTGTCCCCTGCATCGGCAGGCGGACTCTCAACCACTGCACCACCAGGGAAGCCCGAGCACCCCACTTTTGTAGTCACAGTGTGTTTGCTGTAAATGCTCAGCAGAAAGGGGCAGTGTGGGTATTACCTGGCCCCTACCAAGTCTTCTCCATCCTTTGGAGGATGAGGGCACTGGCAGGTCCAGGCTTATCTTGTGGCCCTTGACTTTTATCCCAGCACTCAAGCAGGTATGAGGTATCTGGTTACTGCTGTTTGTATTGTTCCACTGAGATCCTCCAAGAAGAGCCAGGAAAGGAAGTGACTCTCAAATAAGAGCATGGGACTCCTAAAGCAGTTCGCCGTTGTGACAGTATTTGTGGTATCGAAGACAGTGGTCTTTCTATTAGCAGAAAGTGTGAGCATTCTGATGGCTCTTTCCATCCTTCTTGACCATAGCATACTTAGGACTGTTCTGTACATAAGAAACATTATTTAGTGTAACATTTTTTGGTTTTTTTTTTTTTTTTTGCGATATGCGGGCCTCTCACTGTTGTGGCCTCTCCTGTTGCAGAGCACAGGCTCTGGACGCGCAGGCTCAGCGGCCGTGGCTCACGGGCCCAGCCGTTCCGCGGCATGTGGGATCTTCCCGGACCGGGGCACAAACCCGTGTCCCCTGCATCGGCAGGTGGACTCTCAACCACTGCGCCACCAGGGAAGCCCTGTGTAACATTTGATAGATAATCTGGGAAGTATGTGTAAACAAAACAAAACTACATATCTATATCTATATATCAGCAAGCCCAGGTATAATTTTGGTATGAGGCTCACTTTTTATATTTATGTAGCTTAAGTGTATAAAAATAACCTAGTGGAAACCCAGAAGCCCATAGAGGAGGGGAATTCATAAATATGATTCCTTTTCTGTTGCCTGATTTGAAGTTCAATGGAAAGATCAAATGGCATTTGGACAGGAAGCCTGTGCAGAGAGATAAAACCAGTGTCTCCTAAGGTTTATTCTGGCTTGTTTACTAATTGTCTAAGGCACTCATTGGTCAGGTTACGAGAGGGAAGGAAAGGAATCTCTGTCACAGGCTGGAGAAGGGCCAGAGGTCCCAGAATGGTGGCAAGACTCATATCCACATGATTTGGTTGGAGGGACTCATCACTTTGACACAGAAATTGGAGCCCAGTCTTAACCCTAATCATTACGGCTCTGAGGTCACCAGGGATAGGAAAGGCAGATTATCATAGAATCATAGGACTTGGCATAAGGAAGCATTTAGATGTCATCTGTTTCATCTTCTCCCAAAGTACAGCAATCCTCTCTACTGTCTTTGTGATCGTATTTTGGCGGGTGGGGGGAAAGGGGCCAGTCTTATTGAAGTATAATTTTGGTACAGTAAAATTCACCATTTAGTGTACAGTGTACGGTTCTGTGAGTTTGGACAAACACATACAGTTGTATAACTTACACTACAATAAGTATATAAAACAGTGCATCATCCCCCAAATTCCTTCATGTCCCTTTGTAGTCAGACTGTTCTTACCCACCCAGCCCCTGGCAACTGCTGATCTGTTTTCTTCCCTACAGTTTTGTCTGTTCCATAATGTTGTATAAATGTAATAAAATAGTATGTAGCCTTTTGAGTCTGGCTTACTTAGCATGATGTATCAATACTTGATATTCACCTCTGCTGTTGTGTGTACCATGTATCATTCTGATCTATTCAGACTCACTTACATCATCTTCTTGCCCTAAAGAAACCTCATGGCTTTGGAAACACCAACTCTAATTGCACAGAGTAAGGGACCAAGTCCCTGGAGGACTGTGCCTCCTTTTGTGAAGGAAGGACTGTCATCACCCTCAGAAGAACAGCACTGATTTCAGAATATCCAGATATCTGAGGGGAAATTTTCCCCACGGGCCTTAGGGGGATTTTGAGCAACATCATAAGGCATTGCTTGATGGATGTTGACAAGAAGTCACAGGCATCGGCAGGCATCGGCAGGCAGACTCCCAACCACTGCGCCACCAGGGAAGCCCGACAGGCGGATTCTTAACCACTGCACCACCAGGGAAGTCCCCAGTGTCCCATTCTTAAGGGAGGTCGTTACTGACCTAATTGTGTTTTCAGTCTTTATTAACATTTGGACTTGCAGCCAAGGCTTTTCTTAAAAATTGACCTGCATTTTATCTGCCTTGAATCTATATTAATCGGCTTCTTCTCTTGAAGTTAGACCTGGATTTGAATTCAGGCACAGCCACTTACCAGCTGGCTTACTTTGGGACAAGTTACTTAACCTCTCTGAGTCCTAGTCTTTTCAACTTGAGTTACTGTGAAGAGGAAACAAATAATGATGTGAAGTGTTCAGCCCAGGGCTTGACAGCTAAAAGTGGAATGTGAGGTCATGGGTGCTGTGGCTTGGGTCCCTGTTGTGATTACCACTATCACAGTACAAGAGAAGTGAGGCCCATGCTTCTTTCTAAGAGCTGAACCAGATTTGAAAATCTTCTTTGAATCTGGTTGTGATCCCTTCTGGGATCAGCATGCTCCACTTGGAAAATTAACTTCCCTCCCTTCCTCCTGGTCAGGAACATCTGTTGGAGCGGGAGTCCTCTGCACAAGCATTTTGTGTTTGGGTGATTGTATGTTTGTAAAACTTTCCATGAGGAGCATTAGCTCAGCTTTACCCACCAAGGACTGTGAGTGGCTGTCAAAACAAGTGTAGACTGAGTCAACAGAAAGTGCGTCAGGAACAAAAAGCTACCCAGCCCTTGTGGGATGTAATTGCTTCTATTCTCCTGGGAATCTTTATTTTAAAATGCTATGTTATTTGGCTAAAACACAATAGTTAAAAAACCTGTAGCTTTTCCAGATGAAATATCGTGTGAGTGAGCAGAGATTTCCTCCCCACAGCCACCACATTCAAAACTGAAATTATAGCAGCAATGTGATTATGCTTGTTGTTGTTTTAACACTGTTTCATCTCCATAATACACTGAACACCAAACAACACACAGAGAACATCTATTGCTTACCCCCAAAGAGCCCTGCCAAGGGGCAAGGTGGGGAGGAGTGTGTGTGTGTGTGCGTGCGCTCGTGCATGTGCGTTTGTGTTACAGGTTCTTTGGTGAGTATTTTCTCCAGTTCTGGACTTCAGCTTGAGGATGTTAGGAACTTGGAGAGGCTTCAGAGTA